CCCCCCCGCCCTTTGTCATCATTCAAATCTCCCTGAAATCATAGCCGAAAAGAACCGCCCCCACCCTCGGCCATTTCCGGCCCATCGAGCAATTGCCACATGAATGAAATGAATCAAACTTGCCCTCGCATCCGAGCCAACGGCAGTCACCGGGCCTGCATTTTCATTGGGCCAATAACGCACATGCATGCAGGCATGCATCTCTCAGTGATCCCGAGAAATCACAAAACTAGCTCAGGATGGCCAACCTGTGGCCCGCGACCGCAATCTGAGTGGCCCATTCATTCACTGATTAATAATAATAATGAGAATAATAAGGCGAAAGGAGGGCAAAATATATCTCTTGAGAAATTGGGAAAATCACAAGTATGAAAAAATATTGGTGGGGAAAAAAGTGTGCTCATATGCAAATCGGAGTTGACTGCAGTTTTAGTTGTAATATCACCAATGGCCACAAGATGGCAGACACGGCCCGGAAATATTTGTCACGTGGAAGGGGGTAGGATCAGGGGCTTGACCAATTATCGGCCAACAGTTGACCAGCCGTTTGGGAAACTCGCTACATTTGCGATGGTACCCAGAAATGTCTTTGATGCGGTTACGCTGCGTTCGTTTTATTTTATTATAGAGCAGTCTGGGCGTAGCATTTTGCGTAGATTTGGAAGGACATGCAGGACAAAGAAAATAGTACCTGAATAATATTACAATTTTGAGTGAGCTGATATTTGTGTGTGTGTGTGTGTGTGTGTGTGTCTGTGTGTGTTTGTGTGTATGAAAAATTTAACAAAATTATTTCTTTTCCAATGTATGTTGGTTTGCTGTTCAGCAGTTTTGTGCTGTCCTTGAATGGTCATTTTTATGCAAGAGAGTTATTATGTGGTTATTTTGCAGTTTGTTTCAAAACTTTTTTCTGGAGTGAATTTTTTTTTCGCACACATGCTTTCGAACAATGTTTTAAAATACAAACTATATTAAGAGCACGTATATTTTGTCCATCTTTCAGATGGCATATAGTCATACATGTGCTTAGGGAGTGCGTGGAAGCACCGCTGACAAATTGTGAGCGCCTCCATCTTATCAGCGTGGCGTTTTTCTCCCCATTTCCTCCTAAAATGGTCCGCAGGAGAATCCAAACAAACGCCGGCGGTGTCGGTTGTGATCAGGCCGGGAGGGAGCCGCTGGTGGGAGCCTTCGCTCTGCGAATGGAGAGGAGGTTCAGGGCGGGGGTGCGAGGAGGCGGAGTGGGGGGTGGGGGGCGGTGTCTCTCAATAAATGACTTTGACATGAGTGGAAGCAGGCTTTTTCCATCAAGCGCTGCTCGGGATACCACACACAGTGCGCCAGTGTCAGCTTACCGCCCCCGGCCGGCGGCGGTCCCGGGGGGCTTTGCGTTCATTACACAGAGAAAAGCCAAATTAGCCGAGCGGGCCTTCAACGCCCCCCCCGCCCCCCGCCCCCACACACACCCACACACACACCCACACACTTGTACATCGACATCAGGCCGTTGTATGGCCCATGGAATTATATCAACAAGCATGGCGCAAAAAAGTGCACACTGCATGGCCTATTTTAAAGCTCTGCAGATGCCTTCGATAACTGGCGAAGAAAAAAAAAATTCATCCAGACCCCTCGAACTTTCCAAACAATAACCTTTGCACTTTGCACAAACAAAGGATGTGCGGATCAAATGATTTTCCGTGCAAGACACACAAAGCGCGGCTTGGTGGCCCCGCAAATTTCCTGCGACATCAAAACTGGCGACCCCCGTCGTGATCAGGATGCACAATCTTTGTTGTTGGAGCTGCTTTTTTTCCCGCCGCCCCCCCCCCCTCCCCTGCTGCTTTCACATACCCACTGGAGGAGATTGTCGTATAAGCCGCAAATATCACATGCGTGGAAGATTGGATTTTTTTTTTTCCCCCTGCCGTTTATCTTTAGAATGCTGTCACGTTAGCCATTGTGGGCTGACATGTTGATGTAAGATTTGGGCGTGTATTTATAGAGTCATTTGACCTCAGGTGACCTGTTTCAAACTTTCGAACCTTGAATTCCATTTTCAATCCGAAATTGAAATGAAGAAATTGTGACTGAGCCTTTTCTGTCTGCCCCCCCCCACCCCACCCTCTCTCTCTCAGTCTGCTGCTGGCGGGATCTTCGGAACCTCCCCTGCGGGCTTGTGGGAAGTCAGACGGGGTGCAGGCTGCCGGAGTGACACTTTGTTTGGGCTTGACGTTCCAACATTGGGCCCGCTGTCCAAGGTGACTTTGGTGAGCCTCACTTAGCTGCATGGAGCACTTCTTCCTCCCCCCCCAAAAAGATCGCGCAGGAGTTCAAAGGTGGGGGTTGTCACTTCTTCTTTCCATCCATTCATCCATCCATTCATCCATTTTCAGATCCGCTTCTTCTCATGAGGGTTGCGGGTGTGCCGGAGCCTCTCCCAGCCGGGGCACACCCTGAACTGCTTGCCAGCCAATCGCAGGGCACACAGAGACAAACAACCATTCGCGCTCACAATCACACCTGGGGACAATTTCGAGTGTTCCGTTAACCCGCCACGCCTGTTTCGGGAATGTGGGAGAAAACCCACGCGGGCACGGGGAGAACATGAAAGCTCCATACAGGAAGGCCGGAATCGAACCTTGCACCCCTGCACCGTGAGGTGAACGTGCCGACCGGTCTTCCACCGTGCCGCCCTCCTCCTTTCCTAATCTGAAAAATGCGCTCGAGGGTCGTCACGTGACTAACCCACAGGTGTGTTCTTCTGCGGTTTCGCCTGCAGGTCGCAGCATTGCCGCCGCATGGAACAGCAGGTGGCACCTGTCGCCCGGCGTTGGACGCAAGTGTCGTTGCGATCAACCCCACACACACTTCTGCACGGTTAGTTTGATTTATTTGCTGATTTTTATTTATTTGTTTTGTTGTTATTTACATTGCGTCAGCTTCTGCCATTGCAATGAATGAAATCCAAAAGGTAAAACAAAATATAAATATAGGCGACTGGCCACCTTCGCCAAAAACAGTCACACAAACAATCCATAACAAAAAGCAAGATGATTATTCTTGTCATTTCATTTGATTTTTTTTTTTTTTTTTCAGTGCAGGCCCACATTCGTCTTGTTCCACGTCAGTTTGCAAATCATTCCCTGCAGGCACGATTGCTTGAGTGCAGGTGACGTTTTACATTCGGACACAGCACGTTGCCATTTTAATTGACGTCTTGGAGACTAAAAAGTCACTTTGGCGATTAGTATTGAAAGCGTAGGCCAATCTTTGGATTATGGCGCTCATTTGATCCGTTCCTTTCGTTCCTGGAATCGTCTCTTGCACTAAGTTTACACATATCGACACTACTTGATATTTGGGGTGCAATTTCTGTGGGTGGCGGGCGGGAAGGGGGGGGTGTTCAGGACCACGGAGAGCTACTGAGTTCTTCTTATGGCCAAACAGCAGCATTAAAATAAAGAAAAAATATATGTATTGAACAACACGGCCTCCACCCAACGTGTTTTATGTGTCGCGAAAGTGTCAACGGGATGACCAACTTTGAAACGATGGTGTGTTCTCATCCACGTGGTTGCACCCTGAAGAAATAAGACTCGAAAGGAACCAGCTGTCATTGTTTCACGTTTTTTTTATTCATGAACATAGCAGGCATGCAAAAAGGATTTCTAAGTGCATCTCAGTCATTGATTCCATGGATGTTGACAACGTTTTGGGAGCCCACCCGACGCAGCAGTTGTACGCACGGAGAAAAAGATGCATGAATTGTTTTCTGTTTGGGCGGTCAGCGTCGCACGCGCAGCAGAAACAACAAAAAAACTTCTCCCCGCAACACGGACAGATAGAAAAAAAGATAGATAGATAGATATATACATACACACGCGCGCTCGCAAGACAGTAAAATGTCCTGGCATAACCTCGCGTACGACGACAAGCAACGCGCGTTTTGTTTTGTTGTGTTTGGTTTTGTTTTGTTTGCGATTGCAAAATGATGATGGTCGCGCCGACGCGATGGTCTCATTCGGGGGGAGCGACCCGAAGCGAGCTCGCCCATGCACGCCAAAGTGCTCGCGAGTCCTCCTTACGAGAGCAGAAAGTCTATGTGAAAGCTCGTCGCCTTCGGGGGCGTCTGGAGCGCGCGGGGGGCGGCCTCGGGTCGGGCTCTGTGCGGCAGGTGCAGGCTGAACCGGTCCCCTCCGGCTGCTTCGGCCGGGTAGCCGCGATGCCCCGGCAAGTTCAGAGCGTAGGGCAGCTGCACGTGGGGCCCCGGGGGCCAGAAGAGCCCGTGCGCGCGCGCCCTCACGCAGTCGCCTTCCCCGCGTTTGAAGGGCTTGCCCAGGATGCTGTCGATGGCGAAGGGGCTGCAGAACTTGGCCGCCGCACTCTCCTCGGGGGCGGGACGGAGGTGGGCGTCCTCCGCCGTGACGTCGGCGAGCTCCCGGTCCTTGGGGGCCTTCTTGGCGAGGCGCTTCCGCCTGCGGCGGAACACCCCGTCGGCGAACGTGTACTCGCTGTGGGGATTGAGCATCCAGTAGTTGTCCTTGCCCCAAGGTCTGGACGGGTCGCGCAGCACTTTGAGGAAGCAGTCGTTGAGGGACAGGTTGTGGCGCACCGAGTTCCTCCAGCCGGTGTAGGTGCCGCGGAAAAAGGGGAACTTGTTCATCAGGTAGTCGTTGATCTCGGCCAGGGTGAGGCGGCCGCTGCCGGACTCGCGGATGGCCATGGCGATGAGGGCGATGTACGAGTAGGGAGGCTTGGGTCTGCGCGTGTAGGGCTTGCCCTTGCCGGGGTCCGCCGCGCCCGGCGCCGCGGGCGGCGGGCTGTTGGCCGCGCAGTCCCCGTCCGATCCCAGCTCGTCTCCGGACAGAGGAGACGGGACCCCCGAGTCGGCGTCGGCGTCGGCGCCGGCGCACAACTCCAGCGGCTTGTGAGCGAAGTGCAGCGCGGAGAAAACTTCCAGTTTCATTCTCGCCCGGCTGCTTGCTGAGCAGGTGTGGGGCGAAGACGAGCCCTGGCGGCGGGGGCCGACTGTCTGCGCGCGCGCGCGTGCGTGCGTGTGTGTGCGTGTGTGTGTGTGTGTGTGTGTGTGCCTGGAGCGCCTGCAAACAGGTCTGTCTCCCGAGACAAGCCGGTGTTGCTATTAATATCACGGCCCGGCGAGGGACGGCCCAGGGGGCGGGGCCTCCGACTTGGCGCACGGAAGGATTGAGTGATATGCGATGTTTACAATACTTGGACGCTACCGTGTCACGCCACCGAGGGGAAAACGCGGCGACTTATCGACCCGCCCGTCTCGCAGCAACAAACTTTTTCTTCTCTGCTTTCCTTTTTTTTCACCAGATGAAGCCATTTCAAGAGAAATTGCGTGCGAATGCCGCAGTGCTGACTGAAAACATTTTGCAACGTGTGCAATGGTTTTTGAACGATGCCCGTGGAGTGTATTGAGTGATCTGGAATGACCTTGAATGACATTGACTGAAGTGAAATGATATTGAAGGGTAATCATCTTTCCTAGTTTGGGATGAGGTGAAGCGAGGCGGACTTTGGGCCAGGTGGGGGAAACGTGGGAGTGGTGAATATTTTTCGCAAACCGAATGAGCTGAATATTTTGAATTTCAAATGGGAACGAATTGTTGGGAGAAAACGGGAAAGTTTTGGGTGACAGCGTAACACATCCGACCGAATGGCAAAGCGGTGAACCGAATGATCCGAGCCTTTGGAGCGATTAGATTAGCAAATGTGTCGCAAGGCCAAATTTTAGTTAAAAAATCAAAAATCATTCAGTGATTGTCATCATCATTACAGTTCTGAAAACTGAAAAGTTAAAAAAAAATAAAAAAGCTTTTATCATATGCGCTTACATTGAGCTTCTAATTGAAAGGGAGAGCGGAGCTCCACGCAAATCCTTCTTTCCAGATCTCAGCCTTTGTTTGGTTCTTGAGTCACACCTTGATGTATTTCTTTCAGGACAAGGCTGAAGGCAGCGCTTCCCGAATGGACAAATGATTTCCGACCCTTCAAAGACGAAGAACCAGCAACCGGCATCTCCTTCACCGACACGAGGATGGAACTGGAAATGAAAGAGCTGCTCGGACATTGAGATCTTGACAGTGCACAGTGCCCACAATTACGTCATCACGATGAAGCCTGGAAAGCCAATCCATGCGTGTGCCGGCTAACTTTTGCCCTGTCAACATCTTTCAGCAGGACTACGGACGCAGAGGTGAGTGACTCGTGATGAAATGATTGGGAAGGCACCGTGACACCCCCCCCACCCCAAAACAACGAGTGCACATCCAAACACACAATACAGCGTGCTGCCCTCCGTTCTTGACAAAATTGCTCACGAAGCTGCAATTAAGCATCCAAAGTTTGGCTCCGATGAAGCGGCATCACTTCATTCTTCACTTGGCGGCACATCAATCATCTTCAGCAACGTTGTGTGGGTGAGGACAAGTGGGGAAGTACACTGGGCTAATCTTGGTCTTATTGAAAGGAACATGGTACTTGGCCAACATTTCCTTTGAACTTTTATTCCGTTGGACTCAATGAGTGCGGCGTGAGGAGAATTGAGCTGCCGTTTCTTTCCGTTCATTTCCTTTCAAAAGGTGAAATCTCGCATTCGTGAAAACTGTCCGTCGCTTGACCTTTGTGCTTCACATAAACTTTGGTGGCTCAAGGATCAAAGCCGAAATGACGAGCACCGAAACGAGATATGAATACGACGGCGTTCGTTTCCATCATTCGGATGACGTAACAAGACTCGAGCCGCGTTTTGCAGGTTCTGGGAGCGCTTGTGTGCGATGATTGTGCGGTGGCTATAACGATGTTCTCACGACGCAATCGCAAGGTCACCGACGTCAGAAGAAGCCAGCTCGGCTGGTCCCGTACGTCAGTCGGGGCACACCGTTCTCGTATAACTCGCGAACAAGCGTCCGTTCGATTCGGCGCGACGCTGCGTTAGCTCGTCTATTGACATTTGGGGTGTCTCCGGTGAACAGGAGAAGACAACTTGTCAAAGTGTTGACAGGAGTGGAATTCCAGTCATGTCAATTCATCGGGTAAATCCTTCAGTGCTCCCAAAATAACCCCGCCTTTGTGGCGGGTTGTGCTCACACGCTAGCTCTTGTCTGCGTGCGTCTGGATGACTTCTTACCTGTATCCAGAGCCTGCGCTTTCTTTCTTCTCTTGGAGTGAAGGGTGTCCAACCCGCACGTCTTTGTATAAACAAAGTGCAAAGTGTGTGTGAGCACGGCAGGCAACAACAGCACCAAGAAGGCCCGCGTAGCTGAGATTCCCAAGATTCCCTGCAGCATATTTAGTCTTACAACTACTTTGAAGGTAAACGTGCCTGATTGGGACACATTGCATTAAGTGTCTGCTTCGCAGTCAACCTCAGCAACCGCATGAATTCCTTGCTTTTTTTTTTTTTTTTTGGGAGAGGTGTGGTGGGTTGCGGGGGAACCAAACGCAAATGTGTACTGTATGACTGCCTGATACTGAACTCAACTCAACTCAAGTGTATTTCTAGAGCAATTGCTGAAGACAAAGTTCTGTACATGGAGCACAAATCATTCATATTACAACAAACAAATTAATAACAGTACAACTAAAACAAATTAATAACAGTACAACTAAAAATCTGGTTTCCTGCTGAGTCAAAAGCCAAAGAATAAAAATGAGTTTTCAGACTAGTATTGAATTGAAGAGGATCTCAAAAAGGACTCTAAAAAGTTGCGGGAGCCAGGAAAGGGATGCCGGAGTAGGAATGATGTGCTCCTTCCTACAAGTAGCAGTCGAGAGGTGAGCGGCAGCATTTTGGACCAACTGGAGACACTGAATGGAGGATTGGCTGACTCCAAAGACCACGTCAAAGACAGAGTCAGTCACCAGACCTGGAACCAACAGAGTATGCCTTTCACCTCCTGAATAGGAGACTGACAGGAGAAACCCCTGGAAACAAACGGGAACTTCAAGAGGCTGCAGTGGAGGCCTGGAAAAGCCTTCCGCATCGAGAATGCAACAGTCAATGGGTCACGGGCTTGCTGCACTGATTGCAAGTTCAGTGTTTCGCCACCAAATATTCACCGTTATTCACCTTTAATTAATTTAACAGTGTCTGTTCCGATACTTATGCTCGCTTGAAAAGTGGCTGGCTTCAAACAAAAGGTGCCCTGTCCTGACTTGTTGAACACATTTCGATGCGAATTCCATGAAATAAAAGCCCAGCCTCTTAATATTTGGGTCTCATGTTCATCTTTTGAGCCGAAACCCATCGTAAAACAAAGGAATTGACCTTGCCCGTGCAATATTTTTGGAGCGGGGGGACTGTACGTGTGTGTGCGTGTGGAAATGGAAGGATGCTTCGACCAAATGGACGATGCATATGTGTTTCGGTCTTGAAAGGAAATGACAAGAATTGTCCGGCAACAAAACGGCAGCTGACAGCTCCGTTGTGCTTGCGCAGAGTCGTGCCTTTGTGTGTCACAAAAACAAGTGAGGGCGGGGCTGTTCCGATCGTCAAACGGACAACTTAACGGTTTAAAAAAAAAAAAAAAAAAACGCGATGACCCACTGACAACTGTCGCATGGCGTCAAAGAAAACCCTCAAATGAAACGGATGGCCGGGTGGTTTTTGCTCAACTGCAGTTTGATGAGCACCTGTGCTGCCACTTTTTTTGTACATCAGTAAATGAACTCTGGCTTTGAAAAAAAAAAAAAAAAGCACAGACTATCCTGCAGTCACTTGGCAACCACATGTTACTATTTTAAGTTGTCTTGCATTCTTACCTGAGGTGAACACACCCTGCCATTCCAACAGAGGGAGGAAAAAATAGATACACATAAACAGGCAAAGCCAACGGGACTGTTTGAAAAGAAAAGAAGGCAAGAGGTGTCGTGCAACCGAAGCACACGGTTAACTTAACTGCGGACAACAAATATAAGCGACAAGAACCTGTTGTTCATAATATGCTATGATGGAAATACCCCTTTTCCACCCCCCCCCACCCCCTCAAAAAAAAATTGGTGCTCGTTGGGCACCAGGGCCAATGCTGTGCTTCGTTGGTGCTTCTTACGGTGAAGGTGTTTTGCTTTTCCACCGGCAAAGAGCCAAGTAGGAGCCACGTCATGACGTCATCGTGAAGCGTCCAAACGTCACTTCTTATGGTGACGTTTACCCACGAGAGCGTCTGCGCTATTAATAATAATAATAATGCACTGTTAGCATATGCTAGGCAACGTAGCATCGATTATACTTGGATGTAGTATGTAACAGTCAGGGACATGCAATCAACAAACGCTTCTATTTTTCTTAAGACTGTTATTTGCAGATGATCACGAGGGTGGCTGCGAGTTGGAGATCGCATGATAGCCGGCCACATCCGCCATCGCTCTGGTGGGACGCGATGGTGCCGGAGTTCGCCGCGCAACAGTTTGTGCAAACTTTCCGTGTTGTCCAGGGAGTCATTCCTCGACATCTGCGATCGTCACAATAACCCCGCCCACCGCCCCCTGACTGTAGGTTGGTGCCAGTGTCTGCCCCAACAAATAATAACAACCGGTGCTAACCTGGGCACTGGCCCGGATCTAGCACCAGCACAGGCGCAGTGGAAAAAGGTCAACAGATGTCTGCTTTTGAGACCCATTGAGGTCGTCCTACTCACTCATTCGTGCGCCACTTTTAAAAAGATTCACCTCGGTGTGGACCCCCACCCCGCCCACCCCGAATGCTGCCTGCAACATGTTGCTGTTTTGCATGGCTCCCACCCAACCTCGTGCATGTGGGCAACGCAGTATCCTTGTGACGCTATCACACATTTCATCTGTTCACACGCGAGGCTTCCCTCGCGTGCCACGCAGCAAGCAAGGCGTGGATGCTGTTTGGGCCGGAATGAAAAGGAGAAAGGAGCAATGGCCGACCTCGGTCGTAGCCAGCTCTCTCTCACTCTCTCTCTCTGGGTGGAGGAAGGACCGTGAGGAAGGACTCCGTTCAGCTGGGCTGCAGGCTGTTTTTGCCGAGGCGTACAGTAAATGTGGGGCCAAATCAGTACCTGTGCTGCCCTGTTTACCTGGCAGCCATTCAGCCCGTTTCTGTCTAAACTTGAAATAGGATCCAAACACTCTACTCACGCATAGTGATTTGCACGAGATGCTTTGCTCGCCTGCTCAACCTACCGCGGGGCTCCCTGGTGCTATTTTTGCCCCGTCTGAATCTTAACCGCCCCTCTCTTGTCTTTGATTGAGAGGCGGAACTCATGACCTCGGGGCTTTACCGGCAAATATAGCTCTGATTGTGAATAGTTACCAAGGATTCAAACCACAAAACCCCAACAAACACCTTGTTCCTTCATCATAATCATCTGCTCGTTCCGCGTCTCTTTCTTTGGAGTCACACTTTAATCGTGAAGAAGGAAACATATTTAAGAAAAAAAATAAAAAATACCCCGCCTGCCTCGACGAAATGTGTCCTTAACTTTTAAGGACAAAAGTATTTGTTGGGATAAAGGGATCGTGTTTACGGATTATGGGTGGCTCACTGCGAGGGTAATTAGGAACCACGGCGTGGGGCCGTGTGTCGCTGTTTGGACTCGCTCTATTAGCTATTGATTGGGTGATAAGTCGTACCATTAAGAATCGGATGTTTCGTTGGAAGGAAATTTCCTCCAGCTGAATCGTAAGGTGTGTTGCCTCTGCGGTCGCATTGATCCACGGGAACAAACAACAGCATCCAGGATGCGGAGCA